CACATATGCCTTCCATCACCATGGTTTTAATCAAATCACTGTTCATCAGAACCTTGTTTGCCACAGCAAAGGGTACATTTCTATCATTGGAAGGTTAAAATTCATTGGAGTTTTCCTTAATGATGATAGGTCGACTTAAAATGACAGTTTTGCTTGTTCACCATAACGAAGGTTGATAAACACGTCATAGGCATTACAGAGAAGTACACATGTTGAGTGTACATGGTGACATGTAGTGTCCACTCTACTGATATTGGGATTCACACTTGAGGACGATGACTAGGCCGTTGGATTGTGTGATTGGCTTACTTCACATTTGAGGTTGGTAGTGGGAGCTATCAACTGGTGTGAATTAAGTTTGTTGGCCTACCTAATCAACCCATTTTGGCTTGTTCGCCACAGTGAAGGTTTGAAATGGGCTAGATGGGATCTCAGTCCACTAGGAAAGCCAATGGGCTTTCCCGAGTTAATAGTGAAGGCTATTGGTTGGAGGAAAATAGTGAGAGTGTTTTTTAATAAAAGACCATATTAAGAAATAATAAACATTATATTGACTTTACTTTTCTGAATTGTAGATTCACTTAAAAATGAGCATTATGAACCTGCGACCGATAATCGAGAAAAAAAACAGATTGGATAGATCCAATTTCTCGGACTGGTATCGTAATCTTCAGATTATACTTAAGTTCAAAAAGAAATTGTATATCCTTGATACCACTTCAGGTACTAAACTATAAAGGAGGAGTCAACGTCAAGTCAAGCCTACTGCTACTGAATAGATAGTTCCCGAGGGATCAAGTGCTGTTCGACCAACCATTTCTTTTAGGATCCATTGATCTCCAACGATTAATAGGGTACCTACCTGAAAGCCCCCTCTCGCCAATAGAGGAAGAAGCAAACCCAGGCTACAATCGGGGAGATCTACGTATCTAAGGGAACGTAGAGAACCTGAAGAGTGCCGCATTGAAGAATTTCGGAGGCAAAAAAAGAGATTCTCAATTTCCTAGATGAATCTATATGATTAAGCATTTTTGAAAGAAAGGCGAATGGAATGCGAAAAGGAACAAAGAGATACCCGGGAAGGCTATAGTAAAGACTATGCTTTACTCGAATGTCAGGTAATAGTACTGAATACGGGCCTATGAAACTCGTGAGAGTGGGTGAACCCCTTGCCCTTTCCCTGGCTCCTTGCCCTACTGATTTAAGGGGAGGGGGCAATTATGGTTTTGGGGTGAAAGAGCACATCATGCCACTACCTAAAGGATATTATCATATTCTTTTTTCTTCGGAGGAAGATCTACGGTGTGTGTGGGGAGGAGACCGAATACGGTAAGATGATGATGGCCTCTTCGGGGGGTTCGGGCTCGTCAAACTCGACCTCGTGGACGGGGAAGGCTTCCTTCGAGGAGCGAGTTTTTCCTCTTAATTAAAGGAAGGAACAACATCCAAAGACAAATCCTGACCCAAGGTAAAAAAGAATGGAGTGGACTCAAAGGGGAGGAGAGTGGAATTAACCAACTGCCTTTTAGAGTAGAGACTGCTATTTCTACAAGGCTAGTTCTACAGGGTGATCCTGATTAAACTAATAGCATGTCTCAGGGACAAGGGCAGTCTCTACTCTAAAAGGCAGTTGGTTAATTCCATAACCGACTCTTGTTGCCGAATCGAGGGGGCTTGGCTTGTACCAGGCTCTAAAAGAGTTTTCTTCGAGCGAGCAGTCTTTCTCTTTCTATCTTGGGTTGCATGCCTAAGGCAATGTTTTTTGTAGATTGAGATGGATTGATCTTCGCTATCGTGCCTCTTCCTTGTACCAGTTGATGCTGCGGCAGTGCCTAATATGAGTTTGCTCCTGCCCCAGACAGCTTCGAGGTTCCCATCGATCGATTCAGTGGTTCCAGGGAACGCAACTGGCCTTACGCCTGCAATTGGATCTAAAAGATTAGCACAAGAGATGTCATTAGTAAGTAATGCAACCTATGACCGTCAACTTGCTTGATTTACTAACCTCGTGTTCTCATCCACTTTAAGGTAAGGTCGAAGCAAAGCGTTTTCCTTCCTCTTCCTATCGGAAAACAAGAACCGCCAGCTAACTTCTCTCTAATGGGCTTTACTTGTACGCTATCCTTCCTGACCTTACCTCAACTCTACTCTCCAAGCTCACTGCTCGACCAAAGCCTGTGTTCTTTCCTAACATATCGGTCTGAAGTTTCTTTGATCACTTAGGACAGACAATCTTTCTAAAAAAGAAAAATATCAGTCGTTCGGAGCAGAGGTTCACCCCCGCTTATTAGAGATGGTATTGGGTATCGCGGGTTGGACCAGAAGAAGTCCAAGCTTGTTTTACTAGTAACTGCCAGTAAAGGAAAGGGTAAGTGCAAGGGAAAGGCTAAGGCCAATCCCAAGCCCAAGCCTAAAGGATAGGATGCTCTCAAGCCTGTGGGTGTCATTGGAAAAGGTGGGAAGGTAGTCTGCTTCTATTGTGGCAAGCCTGGCCACTGAAGGAAGCATTGCAAGGCTTTCTTCGCAAACAAGAAGAAGTTAGATGCTTCAACTTCAGGTATGTTTATGATTGAGATTAACTTCTCTCCTTCAACATCTTGGGTCATTGACACAGGATGTGCTACTCACACTTGTACTAATGTGCAAGGACTAAGGCAGAGTAGATTGCTCGCCAAGGGAGAAGTGGACCTACGAGTTGGAAATGGAGCACATGTGGCTGCATTAGCTCTAGAAACATTATTTCAGTATCCGTTTTGGATAATACAGGATATCGTTTTGAGATTTCTAAGGGATTGTTGTCTTTTAGTTTGAATGGTATTCTATTTGGAATTGCAAGGTTATATAACGGATTATATGTTCTTGATTTTAACAATAAGGATATTCTCAACGTTGAAACTAAGAAAGCTAAACATAGCGAACAAAACCATACATACCTCTAGCATTATAGATTGGGTCATGTTAATTAGACTCGCATTGCAAAACTTCAAAGGGATGGAGTTTTGGACCCTTTTGACTTCCAGTCATTTGAGGTTTGCGAGTCATGCCTTTTAGGCAAGATGACCAAGTCGCTTTTCACAGGACAAAGTGAAAGGGCTACTGAACTATTAGGCATCATCCATAGTATGTGGTCCACTAACAGTTGAAGCCAGAGGTGGATATTCCTACTTCATCACATTTATTAATGATTTCAGTAGATATGGTTATGTCTACCTCATGAGACATAAATCTGAAGTCTTTGATAAGTTCAAAGAATTCAGGAATAAAGTACAGAATATGTTGGAAGTATTAAAGCTCTTCGGTCGGATCGAGTTGGTGAATACTTAAGCTCAGGGTTTTCTGAATACCTGAAGGAATGTGGGATAGTATCACAACTCACCTCTTTGTATACACCCCAACACAATGGATTCTCTGAAAAGAGGAATATGACCTTACTTGACATGGTTAGGTCCATGATGAGTTTTAGTGATTTACCTACATCATTCTGGGGTTATGCCTTAGAGACTGCAACTCACATTTTGAACTGTGTGCTGTCAAAGTATGTAGACAAGACTTTATTTGAACTATGGAATAGGCGAAAGCCCAATTTATCTTATCTAAGGATTTGGGGTTGCGAAGCTTATGTCAAGAAATTGACTTCGAACAAGCTAGGCCCAAAATCCTACAAATGTATATTTGCAGGGTATCTTAAAGAGACTAAAGGATACTATTTCTACCATCCAGAAGAGCGCAAAATTTTTGTTGCTCGTACTGGTGTCTTCCTAGAAAAGGAATTTTTTCTAAGAAGTAATAGTGGGAGAAAAGTAGAACTCAATGAAGTTCTAGAGTTACAAGATATATTAGACGAAGGACGGGAAGATGTGCCACAAGCAGTGGTTGAACATCAGGAGGAGGTTACTCCATAACTTGTGGATCAAAGTGAACCACCTCAAGTAGCACATGAGCTATGTAGATATGGGAGAATACGCCATGAGCCTGAGAGATATGGTTATCTCGTGACTCAACATGGTGACGTACTTGTCTACCAAGACGATGAACCTAGAACCTACAAAGATGCTATATCGGATCCAGATTCCATTAAATGGATTGAAGCCATGAAATCTGAGATGGACTCTATGTACCAGAACCAAGTATGGTCTCTGGTGGAACCACCTGAAGGGGTCAAACCCATAAGGTGTAAATGGGTCTTCAAGAAGAAGACTGACATGGATGGCAAGGTGCATACTTATAAAGCACGACTAGTTGCCAAATGTTTCAAGCAAATTCATGGTATTGACTATAAGGAAACCTTTTCGCCGGTTGCCATGATTAAATCCATCTGGATTATGCTTGCAATTACTACATATCATGATTATGAGATTTGGCAAATGGATGTCAAAACAGCTTTCCTGAACAGAAACCTTTAAGAGGATGTGTATATGACACAACCCGATGGTTTCGTTCTTGATAGGCAAGCTGAGAAGGTATGCAAGTTGTAGAGATCCATTTATGGACTTAAGCAAGCTTCAAGGAGTTGGAACATTCGTTTTGATGAAGCCGTAAAAGAATTCGGTTTTATCAAGAACGAAGATGAGCCCTGTGTTTACAAGAAAGTGAGTGGGAGCGCAGTGGCATTCCTAGTGTTGTATGTCGATGACATACTTCTGATCGGGAATGATATACCGAACTTGTAGTCGGTAAAGACTTGGTTATCCAAGTGCTTCTCTATGAAAGACTTAGGAGAAGTAGCCTACATCCTCGGAATAAAGATTACCGATGTAGATCACGTAGGTTGCTTAGCCTAAGTCAGAGTACATACATTGACAAGGTACTGAAGAGATTCAGTATGGAAGAATCCAAGAAGGGATTTCTTCCGATGTCACATGGTGTTTATCTCTCTAAGGATATGTGTCCTAAAACATACGATGAGAGAGATAGTGTAACAACTACTTTCTTTCTACCAGATTCGTAATATCGATTAATAAAAAGATGGCATATTTATCAAAACAAGTTAGGCCCAAAAATTTTCTTTACTTAGTAATCACATTCGTTACAAAACAAAACATCATATGTACAAGGACTTTCGAAACAAAACGAAACAAGGGACAGTGCAGCCAAATCTCCACGCTTGCCGACGTCCATCCGACCAAGTCCTCACCTATTTCCTGTACAACAAAGAAAACAACGGAGTGAGCACAAAGATGCTCAGTAAGTAAAACAGGCTCTTACGCTATCGTCCCCGTGCATTACTCATCAATTCTCTTTGTATTTTTATCAAATTTCTAATTCAAATTCTAGTTTTTCTTTCTTTTCTTTTCTTTCTATTCTTTTCTTTTTCTCAATCTCATACCGCCTTTCTCATGGCGGAAACCGCTCCTCTCTCTCATAGCGGTTTACGTGTATTCCGCTCTCTCATGGCGGAGTCCGTCTTTCTCATAACGGATCACATGCATTCCGCTCTCTCATGGCAGAGATCGCTCCTTATCATAGCGATTTACACGCATTCCGCTCTCTCATGGCGGAGACCGTTCTTTCTCATAACGGTTTACATGAGGGTAACTCTATACTCACGAGTTCCCCATCGCACAATCTAGTTTCTTTTCTTTTCTATAGCACTTAAGAATCCTTTTATCTTCTAGTGCTAGTTCTTTCTTTCTCTTTACTCTAAGAGAATTTGTTCTTTTCTTTATCTCTATTCATAGAGAGTTTCTTTCTCATTTCTCATATTTCTTTCTTATGTCATTACTCAATTAAACATATGCATATGGATGACTCATGCCTAAAATCTTCCTTATATGCATTCATGACATGCAAATATGCTACATCGCATAAGGTAAGGTTCTCTAATTCTACTTATGCTTCTTTTAGGCATTTCATCAAACAATATGTGTGCATACATAAACTCTATTCTAACTTTAATCATATTTCTTTCTTAACCATCCAAAATTGGAGTTCAACTCCTTTGAATCATCACACATCCTGCAAAGAGAAACACACTTCAAAAATTCCTCCCAATTACTTCTAATTCTACCCATACTTCTACCAAAATTTCACAACACAATCCACCCTCCTCATGGTGGAAAAATCCTTCATATAACAACATTGAACCCATTCATGAATTCATCAACTTATTTCAACATAAACAATTCAAGCATTAATCATAGATCTAAAACTCTCTACACATCATTCAATCAAGTAAATCACAACTTAGATGATTTTACTTACCTTGGACACAAGTAGAACCCACTTAAACTCTCCACTCTTGATGGCTTGACACTTTCTCTTAGCCTTCAATACAAAACTTAAATAAGGATCCCCTTCTTTCAACAAATGAAAATTTGCTTCTAGAGTAAGGAATCTTACCTTTTAGCACTTAGGATCAATTTGTAACAAATTCTAGTCAAAAAGCTCTTCAAGAATCCTTGGAATCTTGGATGAAAAATTGAGAGAAATAGGGGATGAAAGAGGCGGTGGTGAAAAACAAAATGAAGGGGTTTCTAAAGCTAACCCTTAATATCACATATTTTTCTCCACTCTTTCCCAAAATACCCTTACTCACTCTTTGAAATTCCATTTAAGACCTTTCATTCTTTGCAAACACAACCCCAATCAAAGTATTCTCCATGAATTTTCCTTACAATTCACTCCCCACTTTTCCTGCTAAAAAGGGGTAGAATTGTCATTGTGTCTCAAAAGAAAGAAATCTCAAAAACTCAAGGGGAATATTCAGCTGAGTCTTCGCCGCGGCGAAGCTATTTTCTTCGCCTCGGCGAAAACTCACAGAGGCCACCCGGGTTGAAGCACTCCATCTTCGCCGCGGCGACAAAACTTCTTCGCCCCGGCGAAGACCATAACCCTAAAATTTTGCTAAATCATACTAACCTTCAAGAAAAACACTCAACCAAACCAATACACCTTTTCATCCAAGGATAAACCAAACAATAAAAACAACATACAGACTCAGCTAAAGATAAATCGATAACCATTCGTACCATTCATCAAATCTTAACTACGTACCTCAAGTGGGGTGTTACAGATAGAATGAAGAGGATCTCATATGCGTCAACAATTGGATCCATCATGTATGCCATGTTATGTACTCGGATTGATGTCTCATGTGCGTTAAGCAATTGTAGTAGATATCAATCGAATCTAGGTAAGCATCACTGGATAGCTATCATGAACATCCTTAAGTACTGAAAAGGACTGAGGACATGTTCTTGGTTTATGAAAGGAAAGATGAGCCCACTGTAAGAGGATACAGTGATGCTAGTTTCCAAACAGATAAAGATGATTATCGATCACAATCAGGGTTTGTATTTTGTCTAATGGGGGTGCAGTGAGCTGGAAGAGCTCTAAGCAAAGCACTATAGCAGACTCTACAATGGAGGCTGAGTATATTGCATTACCCGATGTGGCCAAGGAGGCAATATGGATTAAGAAGTTCATCATCGAACTTGGTGTGGTTTCCATGATTATTGATCCAATAGATGTCTATTGTGACAAAAATGGAGCAATTGCTCAAGCAAAGGAACCATGATCTCACCAGAAGTCCAGACACATACTTAGACGTTTTCATCTCATCAGAGAAATGGTTGAAAGGAAAGATGTACAGATTAGTAAAGTACATACTGATGGCAATCTTGCCGATCCACTGACGAAGCCTCTGTAGCAGCAGAAGCATGAAAAACACTTAAGGTCATTTAGTATTAAATACATGAATGATTGGCTATAGTGCAAGTGAGAGATTGTTAGAGTAGGTGCCTTAGAGCCAATCAATTATTGTAAAATTGACTCTATATTAAATGTTTATTTATCAATAAAAGGCATATTCTTCTATATCATGTATGTAATGGTATACGTCCTTAAGATGACATAACTGTGATGAGGGTATCAAGTATTTCAAATCTTGATAGTGAGAACCGTATGATCACATACGGTGGTCATTTTAGAAACTTCCGTAGCCACAATATTATTCTGACCAAGGACACAGATAATACAGTAAGGCTATCATAGTGTTGAACGACCTTGTCAAAAGGCAGTGACTGATCTCACTTGTCAAGGTTGTTTCCCAACAACATGGTGCAAAGCATGGGTGCTTGCCAGAGGCAAGTTCACTGGACAGACCCACAAAAGGATTCCATATGGATGGTAACCCCAATGTCTATGGAATAAATCATCTAACGGATGGTGGTGCATGTGATCCTTAGACTTGAGATCACCGAAGCGCCTTGTGCACCAATTGGTGTATTTTGACACTAGCCCAATGTAGTTCTATTTAGAGTTATCAATACAGTAGTGATTGGCTACATTGAGAAGTGTATCGAGACTATGGTGGATCGACAAAGGATTCATCAGTCCTAGGTATGAGAGAAGTTATCTCATTAGGTAATTCAGTAAATGGCAATGACACTAAATTTGTGGCCACAGTGGGATTGAGTTGATGCTAAATCCAATTTAATATTCCTGTAATTGGTCCAGTAACTGAATACAAATATGTTGAGGATATCTGAGGTTGACACTATTTCTATACCTCAGTCTCAATGAGATAACAATTGATAAAAGGATTTGATTGCACGGTCAGTGACAGGCTGCGGTTTCGCTGAATCTGAATCTATATATTGGGTGGCCATGATACCTTGCTAGGGGCCGATCTTGGTCTATGTTTAGTGAGACGATTAATTGGTGTTAATCGCGATACTACACATTGCCGATATGATAAGGAGCCTACGGGTCACACACTTAGAAGATAATTTAAGAATCAATTTGTGAGAAGGGTATTTTTGTCTTTTAGGATGAAAGGATATTTTGGTAATCTCACAGTGCAATTAAATTTGCTAAGGTTGTTGCCTGTATTTAATTTTAATATTAAATTAAATTAGTGAGATTATATTTAAATATATCTCTGTATATATTTAAATGAATTATTATTATTAATTAAATATTAATATATTATTATATATTAATTGATTTGAATAATTATAATAATTAATTAATTAGTTAATTAAAATACCATAAAGGGTGTGTTTGGTTGCAAGGGTAAATTAGGGTTGGAACCCATAACTATTCCTAACTGGAATAGGGTTTTAATTTTAAAACGTGAGGGGACTTATTTATTCAATTAAAAACCCTAGCCACCCTATCTCTCTCTCTCTCTCTCTCTCAAAAAGAAAACTTTTCTTATTCTTCTTTTTTAATTCTTGAAGCCTTTGATTGTTCTAGCAAAATAATCAAGGGTTTTACGGATTATCTTCATGTGGACTTCCGTGAGTGCGATCCTACTTTGGATCGATTGGCGAAAAGAGACGGTGAACAGTAACCATGAACAATAACTATGAACAGTAACCATAAATAGTAATTGTGAACAATGTTCCTGTCCAAAAATCAGAGATATTTGAAGGAGTCTCTAAATGTATGTAAGTATTCTAATCTTTGAATGGATTTACTTTATACAGATTTTTGTTTATAAATATATAAACGGTATAATCTATACTTGGATCTAGGCAAAGAAAGGTAACTGATTTACCGATTGAATTTTTTGTTTTCCGCTGCGTATGGTAGATCAATTACTTAGACAAACTTGATTCTTTTAGCCTTAGTTGCTTTAATATATTTCACACTATCTCAAATCTTATTTAAAACGACACTAGTAGCTTTTAACCCTTCTTGAACAATAAGATTCAAGATCTGTGTAGAACATCACACATGAAAAAATGCACCCCTACATAACAAAGCATTTTGCACACAAAGCTAGTTCCTTAAGATATCCACGATCTTATCATTACAACTCGCATTGTCCAAAGTAATTCAAAAAACTTTCTTTTCAATTCCCCATTCTTGTAAGAAAGTCATAACATTATCTTCTAAAACAATCCCCGAGTGTGGAGGAGGATTATGGCAAAAGTTGAGTATTTTACTTTGCAACACCCACTTCTTATCTACGTAATGAGCCGTTAAAGAAATATATTCCTCAGTTGTACTAGATCTAGAAGTCCAAAATCAGAAGTTAAGCATATTCTACTAGTAAGCCTCCCTAATTCAAGCTTAGTTTTTTTCCTTTATCCCTTCATATATTTTTAAGCAATCCGCCTTAGCAGTGTTCCTAGTATAATGCTTAAGATCCTTACACACATACGAAAAGACTTTCCTAGTTTCTTGATTCTCCACATATGAACATGGGTAATTATGTTGAATAGTTGATAATGCCATCTCTCACGATAAGTATCTTGGCTAATCTTTTTACTTTGCAATTTATGATCGTGATCAATCAATAATTGCCCCACATCAATGTTGCCACGTTTTGGACAATATATGACGCTTCAAATTTTTAGTCCCATGAGTGGAACTACCATATGCATTAGTTTTATTACACTCCCTATACCTAGCATTCTCATTCTTATTCTCATCAAAATATTTATCAAAGTAATTCCAAATTTTCAATGTTTTACGTTTACTTCTAGAACTAATTGTAGGAATACTAGTATTGGAAGGAGGCGGCATTACCCTAGAAGCATTGTCACTATCTCTCACATTAACCATATCCATATCTATAGACTCAGAATCTGTCATGTCAATACTTGAGACTACCTAAAAAAAATTAATAATTTAAAGGCATGCCAAACACCATAAACTTAAAAACAATCAAAGATATGAATGTATGATGTCCAACATTTTTAAGGGCATAAGTGGATATATCAGGGCATGTAACAATCAAAGGACCACTAACAAAAGAGAACCAAGGAGCAAAAATTCCTAATTGTAAAACTATTGATGTAAAACTATTGTAAACAATAAAAATAAAAAAAATGGTACATGGACCAGAAACATTTCCTACCAAAGACCCAACCATGCATGCCTTAATTTCCAGATTATAGTAATTTAAAACAAAATTAATCCTTACGTCTAATCAGAATTCGAAAATGTGTTATGGGTGTGAGTTTATAATTATCAGGTTGCTTTTGGTAAGAATTGACATCGTGTCAAACTCTCCACTATGCTAGTTGCCTCCTTGACTAGACCTTAACTAGGGCACCCCACCCAATGGCATATTTGGGGTTTCAATTTAAGTATATTGGTGCCTGAATTACTGTATTTTTCTTTAATATTGAGTTATTAGACAAAAGAAACAACATATTTGCCATTGTCTGCTGCAATTTAATTGTATTAAGCATAACCGAAACATGCTTATCTAAAATTGGCAAAATAAAAATGAACATCAGATTGACTAATATAGTTTTAGTCCTAAAAATATGTCTCTATGTCTGTATATATGGTTTCAATAAAAACTAAAATACAGTGCAGGGCAGGAGCAGCTAAGTTAATAGTGATTCCATTGTTGAATTACCCATATATTAAAACAATAAAATATAGTATCAAAAATCTGGAAATCCAAAACTTGAAACATCATTGGTGGCTGACATAACTCTTTTTTGTCATAAACCATGCAGCTTCTTCTTCCTGTATAT